CAAAAACTACTGGTAAAAAAAAAAAAAAAAAAAATTAAAGGCTGAATTTTGTGGTATGTGAATTATATCTCCTTAAAGTTATTTTTTTAAAAAGAAAGAAAATAAAGCATCCTTTAAGTCACCCCACCCCAGATTTCCCATGTAGCCATTCATTACTCCATGAATATTCACTGAGGGCCTCCGTGTAGCCCATCCACTGGGGACACAAGCAACATGAAACAAACAATTTACATCCTAAGTGCAATGGCACCCCAATATTCAGAGCCCCACGACCAGTGCCTGCACCGCGTGACCTCTGACCCTCACCTCCTTCCTTCCCTCGACTACGTCACCTCCAGCAATCACGGCCCGCTGCTGTCGCTGTCCCTCAGCCCCTCATTCCTCACCGCCCTTCCACTCACAGCCCTCCTCGCACCTCGCATCCCCGATCTCACCTGACAAAACCCCCACACTGGTCAAAGCCAGCTCTCCCCCTGCTCTGCACTTGCACCTGGGTGGCCGAACGTGGCTGGAGAAAAACACTCCACCTTGCCCGCCGTCTCACTTTAAATTCACGACATGCGTCTCGAGTGGGTCCTTAATGCTGCCCGATGTCCTGGTCATGGTCCTTCACTCTCCCCAGGTGGTACGCCCTTCTCCTCTCTATAAAATGGGACAGTAACGTTTCTGCACCCTGGGGCTGTTGGCTGCATTAGCACTGGGCACACAGTAGGCCCTCAACCACTGATAGTCACTGGGATTATCACCTCTGGTCCTCAGTCCAGGGCCCCCTGGTGGCCCGGTCTCTGAGGAGACCCCCCCCGTGCCGTCAATGATTTTGTCCACTGGCTGGGCAGCCCTGGGTTCTTTACCATATTGGGTGCGGAGGGGACGTGGCACAGGGCAGCGAAACGCATGGCCACGCTCAGTGGTAAGACAGGGAAGCTTATGACTTCCTGCAGCCGATGTCCCGTGTGATGGGCCGAGCCTGAGTCAGACCACAGGGCCCAAACGGAAAGTTACCAGGGCCTCCGAGAGGGAGGGTGGAGGCTCGTCGCGTGCAGCCAGCCAGCATGGCAGTCTGAGCAGAGCAGGATGGCTGCCCCCAGGAATCCAGGCTGCACCTCCCTCGGGGAGCCGAGATCAAAGCCCAGAGGAAGGAGGAAGTGTGAGCCCCAGTGACTCACTTCTTCCATCTGGGGCGAGTCACCTCTCACCCCTGCAGGCAGCCTGCCGCCTGCCTCCGCACCAGGCGGGACCATCCGACCTGGGTCTGTCTATTCATAACCCTGACCTGATTCACCCGCCTGCCCGCCCCCTGTTCCGCCACCTCCGTGTAGACCTGCTGAGATGTTTGCAGGTGGCCCAGCCTACAATTAGGTCTTGGAAAAACGAGAGAGAGAGTGGCAGGGTTGGGAAAAGCCCTGCTCTGAAGGCAGGACACTTGGGTCGCGGTTACTAACCGCTGTGTGAGCCTGGCAGGTCTCACACCCTCTCTGGGCTCCAGTCTCCACTTCCGACTCCGCGTCCTGGCTCCTCGGCTCTGGAATTCTACCAGGGCTTGGGGGTCCTCACCTCGCATTGCCCTCTGGGAAACAGTCCTACAACCTAAGAGGCCCTGATGGTTTGCTGCTGCCACACCTGCACCTCAGCCCTGGTGATTCCCGCACCCCCAGCAGCATTCAGCGGTGCCGGCTCCGGCTCCGAGCGCACAGCCCGGCTCTCCACGTGGTGCTTCAGCCCCGGCTGAGCGCTGTCCTCCTTGGGGCCCAGCTCAGACGTCACCTTCCCCACTGCCTTCCTCTTCCGACCTGCCAGCCGGGTGCGCCCCCAGCAGAGGCCGTTTTGTTCCTCTTCCTCCTTCAACCGAGCTCTGGGCCACGGACAGCGACTGGCACACAGAAGGGGTCAATAAATATATTATGAATGAATGACGAAGTGGAAGCTCCCAGGCAAGCTGGAGCGAGCCATGGTTTGCTTCCCCCACGTGGGCCCTGGTGGGAGGCCACCCCCGAGCTCTGCCCTCCGGAGGAGGGGGTGCTGGTGGGAGGGGCGTAGATTTCCGAGGAGGTTCCAGCTGGGCTCCAGCCATGCCACAGCCCCAGGCTGCCTGGCCCATGACTCACAGTGGCCACACTCAAGGGGCCAAGAGCCGCATGTGGCTCTCGAGCCGCAGTTTGCCGACCACTGCCCTAGCCGGTTTGGCTCAGTGATTGGAATGTTGGCCTGAGGTCTGAAGGGTCTCGGGTTTCATTCTGGTTAAGGGCACATACCTCGGTTGCAGGCTTGATCCCTGACCCCAACCAGGCCAAGTGTGGGAGGCAACCAATCAATGTGTCTCTCTAGCACAGTGATGGCGAACCTTTTGAGCTGGCGTGTCAGCATTTTGAAAAACCCTAACTTAACTCTGGTGCCGTGTCACATATAGAAATTTTTTGATATTTGCAACCATAGTAAAACAAAGACTTATATTTTTGATACTCATTTTATATATTTAAATGCCATTTAACAAAGAAAAATCAACCAAAAAAATGAGTTCGCGTGTCACCTCTGACACACGTGTCATAGGTTTGCCATCACTGGTCTAGGGGTTGCGGGGGTGGAGGGGAGCCCCAGCACTTCCCCCACCCCAGCATTCCCACGCTCAGGAGGCCCCAGGGTTAGGGAACACCAGCCCCAAAGCTCTGGGTTCCACTGGCAGCCTGACCTTGGCCATCGGGGCCACCAGGGGCTTGCTCCAGTCCCAGGAACAGCCAGGAACCCGCAGAAACTGGCTGGGTCCCGCATCTCCCCTTCTCTGCCCTCTCCTCTACCCTGTGGACCCCCTCCCCCGGTTCCAGACATTTTCTCTCCCGCGTCCCAGTTTGCAGATAAGTATCTGATGGCCTCCTCTAGTCCTGTGTGTTCGAATCAGTGAGAGACGGCCTCTCCTGGAGATCACAGGCTCGCCCCTTTATCCCGTTACTTTTTATTAAAATAAACTTTTAATTTTGGAATAGTTTTAGATTTACAGAAACGTTGCAAAAGGTCACACAGTTTCAAAAACACCCTTCCGCAGTTCCCCTTCTGTGACATCTTACGTAAGGACGCAGGAACCCACAGCTGCATTGAGTCAGAAGCTGTTGAATCTCTTTCCATGTGTTGATAATGGTAATTATCTCAGATGAAGGGAAGAGCCTGGGAGGTGAGTGCCTTGCCATAGGCGAGGGCCAGAGGCACGAGGGGTGTGACCTCGAGCCCCCGTCTCCCAGCCTGAAGGGTGGATCAGAAGTAATTTCTTCAAGGACTACATGAGATCATGTCTATGGGCATCTCCCTGCCCCCGAAGTGGCCGCTGTGGTCATTGCTGTCGGCATCATCATGACTAAGGAGCCCAGATCGATTAAGGGTTATGTTTGAATAAGCCCCCCCCACTCCCCGTCCGGGCACCTTCGCTGGGGAGCAAGACGGGCCATTACAGACCTTGCTCTGACCAGGCCCTGAAGACTGAGCGTTAGGAATCCCAGGGTGCAACATCCCACTGTAGCCACTGGCTGTGGGCAAGTCATAGCCTCTCCGTGAGCCCCTGTCTTCTCACCTGCAAGATGGGATGATCAGAGCCTCCCACGCAGAGGTGTTGGGAGGATTCCCGGGACCAGCACGGAGAAGCCGGGACCAGCCCCCAGCAGCTGTGAGTGTGGCCCTCGTGCCCCCTGAGGGGCAGGCAGGCAGGTCACCGCCTGGGCCTCCCGGGCAGGCAGTCTGGTTACCTGAACGGGCAAGCTACCCAGCCCTGCTGAAACCTGCTTCTTGTCAGGAAGAATCAATCATCGGACCGCTCTAGCCTCACCCCACACAAGAACTCAGGAAATAAAAGTCAGTTTCTACTGTCCTCAGGCCTAAAGGGTTGTCTGAAGGTCAGGTAGCTGGTTACAGGCTCAATCAGAGAGAGCGCCTAGGATGTGCTAAGACCTGTGGCTCCCCCTCCCGCTCATTCAGAGACTGTTTGGGGGGGGGGAAGAGGGACGCGCTGCTACCTGCCTGCGGCTTCTTTTTTCTTTTTAATATATTTTTATTGATTTTAGAGAGGAAGGGAGAGATAGAAACATCAATGATGAAAGAGAACCATTGATTGGCTGCCTCCCACATGCCCCACAACTGGGGATTGAGCCCACAACCTGGGAATCGAATCGTGACCTCCTGGTTCATAGGTCTACGCTCAACCACTGAGCCACAGAGACCGGGCTGCCTGCTGCTTCTCCAGGCTCCTAAACACCACCTCTTCTGGCCTAAAGGAGCCACCCATACACATCCGATGAAGGAAGCATTTTTCACAAAGAGGTAAAACCGTGACTCCCATACAGATATACAATCAACACGTGTTACACATTTCCTTTTGCTCCTGAGACAGGGGTGGGGAACGTCCGGCCCGAGGGCCACATAAGGCCCTCGAAATCATTTGGTCTGGCCCTGCCAAGGCCACCACAGGCGGGACTCGAAATTCAATAAATCTAGGAGCTTTTTTTCATAGCAACAAACATGAACATTAAGTGAATGATGTTAAGAGGACGATGTTATAAGTGTCCAAATGGTCCCTGGCAGAAGAAAGTTCCCCACCCCTGTCCCAGGGGAACCGGGTGGACAAGTTATGAATGACTAGCTCCAAAGGGCGACAGAAGAACACGCCGTGTACAGGTCAGGAATATCAAAATGAACGTGCAAATGGGTCGAAAGTGATTCCCCCACAAGGGGCTGAGGACTGCTTCCCAGACGGGACAGAACTGACCAGAGGCCCGCAGTTTACATTGAAACATAGCTCAGAGGCAGCGCCCGGCTGGGCTCCAACGCCCAGGAAGGTCTGCTGTGGACAGCGTGTAGTTTTCCGCTGACGTGCACGCTTCCTTGGCAGCAGGAAGGCCACGAAGAGGGTGCACTCCGTGGTCTCTAACCTGCTGACCGCTCACGAGATCAGGATGACTCACACTCGGGGTACAAAGTCCTTTCCGAAGGAATTGGGGAAGTTCATCTCACGGGCAAGCGGGAGGCCTACAGCCCAAAAGCAGCAGCATTTAAGAGGGAGGGTGCTAGGCAGTTATGATGTTTTTTCAGCTGGATGTTGGCATCTGGAACATTCCGGAAGGTATGTGTTTGTGACCTGAGTTGGTGGCAGAGGCCTGTGGTTTTCACTGCGCAGCCCTGGGTAGTTACACCACTTCTCTGATGTGCCCTGTCCCTGTCTCTGAATCGGGGTAGTAATGGTACCTACATCAGAGATTGTGAATATGTTTAATGAGCAGCTATTCACCTTATGAGAAGTGTATTTTTACATTGATCAGACTAACCATTTCTTTGACAGTGTGGTCACTGGGATATTTTCAGATCAGCCCAGCCTCCTCCTGTCCCCTGTGGGCTCCCCATCAAGTCCTCATTTCCATCCCCTGTGTTCCTAGCAGTGTGGGGAGCAGCATTCAGCTGCCATGGACACATGCTGGTGTGAACTACACCTTCGAACACCTGGGTGTGGCCTCAGGTAAGGGGCCCTGGGCAGGGGTGACAGACCAACACAGGCCTCCCTCCAAGAGGGTGTATTCTGGTTGCAGCGAGGCCACAGTTTTCCAGTTTGTTTTCTTCTCTCATCCTCATGGGAATCACGCACAGTAGGCGGGCAGGAAGTATTCCCTTCTTGCATCTGGAGAAGCCTGCCCAGTTCGCTAGCCCATGCTGCCCTCTAGTGGCTGTGCGCGGTAGCCCAGGTCAGCCGGCAACACCTCCCTGGGTTTGCGGGCTGCATGGCCAGCCTTCCTAGGACCCCAGTCAGGGGTACCTGTCTCCCCTCTCAGGACTCCTACATCACTTTATCAGCCCCTCTCGGTCCCTGAGCATTAAATATACATATTTAATTGTCGTAAAATATACATAACAAAATGTAGCCTCGTGACCATTTTTAAGTGGCATTAGATTCACACTATTGTGCAACCATCTCCCCATTCATCTCTAAACTGTTAATCGTGCCAACTGAAACTCTGTACTCCTTAAACCCACCCCGCCCCAGCCCACCTTCCGAAGGGCTCTCCACACAGGGCCTTCTACTTTCTGTCTCTATAAATGTGACCCCTGATGCCTTATCTAAGTGGAATCATACAGCACTTCTTTTTGTGACTGGCTTATTTCTCACTGCAGAAACCCCCCTAGAAGTGTCCCCTCTATGAAGCGGTGTATAAATGTGCAGCCTGGAAGACAAAAGCACCCCCCAGATTTCATCCAGACAACATCCCTCCAAAACAGTGGTTCTCAACCTTCTGGCCCTTTCAATACAGTTCCTCATGTTGTGACCCAACCATAAAATTATTTTCGTTGCCACTTCATAACTGTAATCTTTCTACTCTTATGAATCGGAATGTAAATATCTGATATGCAGGATGGTCTTAGGCGACCCCTGTGAAAGGGTCGTTCGACCGCCAAGGGGGTCACGACCCACAGGTTGGGAACTGCTGCTCCAAAACAACCAACCAGACACAGGCTGGGCCATGAGGAATCACAGCACAAGGGTACAATTTCATGGGAGGAAAAACTAAGCCAGTGGCCCTGACAGCAGGGAGCTGGCCTGGCCCTCAGAGTCAGGCCTTGGTGGGCTCCAACCTCACAGCTCACTGTGGCCACCTCTGGGCCCGCTGCGGAAGTGACCAGCACCCCATCCTCCGAGCACTGCTGCTTCCCCACCAAGCACAGCTGTAGGGCCACACCCTCGATATAAAAAAAGCTCTCCGGAAGCAGGGGTAATGCTATGGATGTTGGCATCTGGAACAGGGAAGGATGCACTTACACTCGTGCCACTGTGAGCACCTTTGCAGGGAAGGATGCACTTACACTCGTGCCACTGTGAGCACCTTTGCAGGGAAGGATGCACTTACACTCGTGCCACTGTGAGCACCTTTGCAGGGAAGGATGCACTTACACTCGTGCCACTGTGAGCAGACGCCCAATGAGCATTGTCCCAGGGCTACTCCCAAAGGTTCGTGTCTAGCTAGGCGAGATCTTAGACGGAACACAGATGGACTTCTAATAGTTATGCATTTATTTCCATGTATAATAGGAAAAAAATAGAACTAGCACATCAACAGTGACTGCATGGATATATTGTTTAGCACAAGACTAAAGTTGGGAGTAAAAAAAAAAAAAGTATGTTGATTTAAAGAGAGTATTAAGGAAACGAGAGAATGTGAGGTCTTTGATGATGACCGTTGTGGGGGTGGTACGTGAAGCCCTGGAGTCTGGGACCCCCTCCTCCCAGCTTCAGGCAAGAAGCTGTGCTCTGCTCTGAAGCCCTAAGGGGCTCTACAGACAAGCTCTCGGAGCTGGGGGCCCGGGGCAGCCTCCTAGGAGCCTGTGGTGCATCAAGACCCCAGGGAGCAAAGCACGTATTCATCTGTTCATGTTCTACAAAATGCCTCAGAGGTTACAAAGCAACAAAAGTGATTTTCCTTAAAAGGGAAGATGGATCTTCTAGGTGTGGCCTTGAAGAGGCAGTGGTCACAGGGCAGCCTAGGTGGGAGGGTCCAAGTGGGACTTGGGGAGATGACCAAGGGGCTGAAGGGGCACCCCGCCCCCCGGCACTGTCCTGAAGGAGGGTGGGTGTTGGGGGGGTGCACAGCCTCCATCAAGGCTGCAGGAGGAACACCCAGAGCACCTGCACCCTGTTCCCCGGCAAACAACAGGCCCCCGATCAATGTCAGCTGACTCGCACACAGGAGCACCAGGCGCAGGGTGGAGCGAGGCCAATGTCCTTGGGTGTCGGCACATGCCACCCTTTCCTCCTGCCCCCCTCCTAGGTTCACAGCCAGGCCTGGGCCCCATGTCCCCCGGGTGAGAAGGCCACGGCCATGCACCACCATTCCTGTCCATTTATGAACAAACGGGAGACATTTCCTATTACGATACAACCACCCCCAACAAAAACAAAATCCAAAGAATGTTTCCCATCATTTAAATTTTTTAAAAAGCGCTTTTTAAGGAACCTTGGAGTTTTACTCAAATGGCTCAAGTCCTGCAAGCCAGGGCTGATCTCAGCACCTTATGGGACAGCTAAAGTGTCATTGCTAGGGACCCAGGGTGCCACCCGAAACTCGCCCCAACTCACTCCTGGAAATGGGGGGTCAAGGCCAGCACACAAGAGCGACCGGAGCCTCGGACATGAGCACCCAGGGGTGATGCTCATGGTATAGAGAGGCCCCGTGCCCAGAGGATGGAAGGAAGAGGTGACAGTCTGAGGGGCACCGTCTACAGCCACCGCTGAGCTGGGAGGAGGCTGGGGCCGGGGGGGCTCAGCCCTGCATCCCAGACGGGATGGGCTGGTCCCTGGAGTGGCTCGGAAGGAAACTGTGCAAGAGCAGGCCAGGAAGGGAAACCGAGTCAGGGAAGGGACCCCAACCGGGGCGAGCGGTGGGTGCCCTCAGCAGCACCCCGCAGCGCTCCGCTTCACGTGGCACGGCTTACAGAAGAGACGGTCGTTCAGCGGGTAGCAGCCTTGATCCGTGGGCTCCACGGACAGGAGGACCCTGCAGTCCTGTGGGGACAAGAGACATGCGGGTGGACCCCGGGCCGGAGGCAGCACGGAGCCCCCCCGGGGAGGGGCTCACCCAGCATCTGCCGAGGAGATGAACTGAGTGAACAGACTCCTCCTTCCTGTGCCCCCAGCACACCTGGGCCAGGTCTCCATCAGGGAAGACAAGGCAGGCGGCGCTTCCCCCCACGCGGGGCTGTGAGTGATGAGCAGCATCAGTCGAGGGGACAGCTGGGGACACTGGGAGACGTCCCTTGAGGGGTTACGGAAAGAAGAGGCTTAGCCACCACCCAGCAGCCCTTTAGGATGTAACCTCTGCGAGGCAGTAACCCTGCTTCCTGCTGGATCCCGCCCAGCCCAGAGCCTGGTGCCCCGTGGGCTCACAATACAGTGGCGCCTTGACTTACGAGTGTCCCGACTAATGAGTTTTTCGAGATACGAGCCGTCTCTCGGCCGATTTTTTGCTTTGAGTTGCGAGCTAAAATTCGGGTTACAAGCCAGCTTCAGATACCCCACCGCTAGCTGGCGCAGCGAACGTCACAGTGAACGCCACAACATCAGCCCAGCATCACATGTCTCACTCGTTCACTTTAAGATTTGACATATGAGTAATATGAATTACGAGCTCCGTCACGGAATGAATTAAACTCGTAAGTCAAGGCCCCACTGTAAGTAGCTGCTGAGTGAATAACTAAACCAGTCCCCGCCTTCACCGCACAGGTGGGGAAACTGAGGCCCAGGGAGGGGTGAGGCTGGCCCCCGGTCCCAGACTCAGGGAACTAAACCAGTCCCCGCCTTCACCGCACAGGTGGGGAAACTGAGGCCCAGGGAGGGGTGGGGCTGGCCCCCGGTCCCAGACTCAGGGTCCAGAGGGCTTTTCATCGCTCCACTTCCTGCACAGCTTCAACACTGGCACACACTTTAAAATCCCAATTTTTCAAATCACCGAAGGATGTCAGACCAGGCAGATGGGGGTTTGGAGCCCAGCCTGCTCAGCCCACCCGCCTCGTAAGCCCCTGCCTCATCTGAGCTGCACCAGGGCACATGCTGGGGAGTAATAATGGGGACGATGAATGCCCGCGGCCTCGGTTCAGGGCGTGGCTGGCATCCCCTGGAAGCTGCATTCATCAGTTGGTCCCCACAGAGACAACTTTGGGCACATGGGTGCCCTTCGGACCCAGCAAGGCCAGCAGAGGGCGCCCTCGTGCGTCTCTTTTCTGCAACTGCACCTGGAGTCTCTCAAGGACTATTCAATGCCGGGAGCCCTGTTATTCCCGTCTGCCGCTTGTTTGGCATTCTGAGAGCATCAGCGCCAAACACACAGTCCCCAAGGGGCACATGTGACCTCTTCTAAATTAGAATCAAGTGAGGAAACATCTCTACTATGACCGAGTCACACGGCCTGGGAAGGAGCTTTGGGTGGCAGACAGCTGGCTAGACCTGGTCCAGGCGAACAAGGATTGGAACCACTTTTCTCAGCCTCAGTTTCCCCATCTTAAATGGAGGCAATAACTCCCATCTCGCAAGATCGTCATAGTTGATTAAATAAGGCGACGTCCACGAAAACATTTTATAAATTAAAAAAACACGATCCAGGTACAAAAGTATCGTTCCCCTCCCAGCGATGGAAGTAAGTAACGGGGACCACATGGAACAGGGCTGACGAGAGGAGTGTGGACGGCACCTCGAAACCCGTTTCCCTTCCTGGGGAAGCAGCACCCCGATCAGCTCCAGGCCGCCGTGGTCTGAGCCTTCCCACCTGGAGCGTAACTGCTGGAGTCCCAACTGACGCTCTGCAGCAGCAGCCCGGGAGGCCCGGCAGCCTTGGCCACGCTGACCAAGGGCATGCAGGGGGGGGTATGTGCTCACTAACCGGGCCCAGGGAAATGCCAATCAGCCCTGGACCTTAGGAGTGCTGTGGGGGTGATAACAGCCCTTGACTTTCCTCATCGTTCTTTCAAGATGCTTATCAGTCGGACTTTGGACTCTAAGCAGCAAAGACAACATGATTATGAAGCGATCTGTCAACTTCCGGACCAAGCTCCCCTGTCACACTCCGTGAACACAGCCTCTTGGTCCCATTATCTGCATGAATAAGAATTACTCACGGCTGATTAAGAGGTTTGCCCTGGGAGCTCCCACTTAGGTGACACCCATAAAAGCTGCTACCATTTCGCCATCACCGGAGAAGACAGACACCTCAGTGGCATGGAGGTGACCGTGGAAGGTAGGGGGGACTCCTGGAGCCTCCCCAACAGGACTGACTATATAATTTGCAGGGCCCGGGGGGCGGGGGGGGGGGATGAAAACTCACACCCCTGTTCAAACATGAAGACTGTCAGGGACGGTAACAGCAGAGCTTCAACGGGTCTGGTGTGGGGGCCTGTGCGACTCCCTGGGCATGTCTCGCTGGGGCGACGGCACTAGCTTCTAGCCAGCCTTCCGTCTCAGCCTCATCCCTGCCGGCAGCCCGAGGCCCAGACTCCTTAGCCTGGAACATGGGGTCCTTTCCTTCTCCCTGACCCCACCCTCCCACACACAGCACTCCAGACACAGCCGGAACTTCCACTTGCTCCGATCCTTCAGGCTTGCTCGTGCCAAAGTGGGTTTTTACAGGCCTTGCCTCTTTGTGGAGGTCCTTTCCCCTCTCTGAATACCTGACAAACTCATCCCGAAAGACCCGCAGTAAGCATCACTTCCTCTACCACCACCCTGGTGAGACGCCATCGCTGCCTTTTTAGTCCCCATGCTTACTGATTTGTTTATTTATGTGTTTTTAATTAATTTTTAAAAAATACATTTTTATTGATTTCAGAGAGGAAGGGAGAGGGAGAGAGAGAAACATCAATGATGAGAATCATTGATTGGCTGTCGCCTGCACACCCCCTACTGGGGATCAAGCCTGCAACCCAGGCATGTGCCCTTGACCAGAATCAAACCTGGGACCCTTCAGTCCGCAGGCCGAAGCTCTATCCACTGAGCCAAACCGCCTAGGGAAGTCTCAACGCTGATTTAAACGTGCTCTTTCCCAGCACCCAGAAGGGACATCTGTGGCGTGAGTCTGCCCTGCATCCCTTTCTTCTTCCTTCCTACAGTTGTATCAACTCCTGTTTCATATGGTTCTGCCTCTGGCCCCATAGCCCCTGGCCAGTGATTGTGTTAGGGGCAGAACTAGAATATTAGGGACTAGCTATAATTGTAAGAAATATAAACCATGCTCTGGTAACCGTGATTATTGATTAGAGAAAGCACGTTCTCACCTGGCTGAGAGTTGTGCGCTCTGGGACACTGGAGCTCACATCAGAATGCAGTCCAGCCTCCTTTCCCGAGAACCGCCTCTCATTATGGAAAGATTTACAACCTCGTGGCTGAGACAATCTAGTCCCGGAGGCGCCCGCCCTCTGTGACCCCCCAGCCCACATTGCCTGGTACCTGTGACCATTACACCTTGCCTACTTCCCCATGCCTGTTATTCTTACTCTCCCACGTAATCCTTGTCCTGCCCTATATAAGCAGCTGGCTCATGGGGGGTTGCAGAGCAGAGTTCTGTGGATGACCCTCTGCTCCCCCGTGCTGCCGGCAGTATTGGAATAAATGCTCATACGTATATGCTTTAACCCTGTCTCTGCTTAATTGGCTCAAGTAGTGGCAGGCAGCCTGGACCCCCTGATTGTCCAGTTACAATTGGTCCATAATAGGCATGTGACCCACACTGAGCCAATCAGAGGCCTTCTTGGGGTTGAATGGGATCCTGGATGTGGTTTCTAAGTTAAAAGGACATAAACCTGGCCCATGCACTGCATCCGCGTCCTTATAGAGGATGCCAGCCCATACGAAGAGAAGATGAAGCAAACACATAAAAAAGGGCAGAGAAATGGAGAGAGAGAGAGAGCGCCCTAAGGATATCATTAATGATGTCACCATGAGCCTCCCCATGGTTCCCTTTCTTTATTTCTAAAGTTTTTTTTTTATTGATTTTTAGGGAGAGAAGTAGGGAGGAGAGAAACATCAATCATGAGAGAGAATCATCAATTGATCAGCTGCCTCCTGCACAACCCCTAGTGGGGATCAAGTCCACAACCCGGGCATGTGCCCTGACCAGAAATTGAACCTATGACCTCTCGGTTCATGGGTCAAAGCTCAACCACTGAGCCACCACAGCTGGGCCTGTGGTTCCCTTTCTTGCGGAAAGCAGGTTTAGTTTCTATCATTAATCCAAAGAATTCTGATTAATAGACTCTATTTGTAACTATTTTCATTCTCTTTTAAAAAGATAAATATTTTTATTGATTTCAGAGAGGGAGAGATAGAAACATCAATGATGAGAGAGAATCATTGATCGGCTGCCTCCTCCACACCCCCTACTGGGGATTGAGTCCACAACCCAGACTGGAATCAAACTGGGGACCCTTTAGTCTGCAGGCCAACCCTCTATCCACTGAGCCAAACCAGCTAGGGCTTATTTCCATTCTTATTTATTTTTGCTATTGGGCAGGGGGCCGAGCCCGACCCTGACCTGTCCCAGCCCAGGGCCCGGGCAGTGGCGAACAGAACCCACAGCATCATTAAATCACCGCTCTACTCACCTCGCACCTGTAGCAATTTTCATGGAAGTTTCTTCCCATGCACTCGATTTTGAAGGCATCCTTCCCGTCTCGGGGGATGATGGGATTCTCACAGATGCTGCACACAGGGGCGAATTTCCTAGAGGGAAAGGAACCCACGCTGGGGAGGCGCTCGCGCCAACCACAGAAATTAGCTGTCAGAACGGGGGCTGGCTCTCATTCAGCTCCCAGTGCTATTTCAGACCTGTTGCTATGTGACTGCACCTGGAGTACAACCGCAAAGGCCTATTTCTTCCTGGCAGGAGCGGTGGAGAGACGTGTGTAATTAGACCCGGCTTCCCAGGGTATAATTAGCTCGAGGCAAGGAAGTGACTGGGGCACGTCAGCGTTTGAGAAAGCAGAGACTTCTCACGTGAGTTGGGGGGGCAGGCCGGGGCC